TCTGGTGTGACCGGCCTACAACGCCGTTCGATACGCCATTGTATTACCATACTTGCGCATGAGCGACTTGAAATTGCTGCTCTAGCCATTATAAGAGTTGGAAAACGTACCATGGCTTGAACACTCTCTTGCGACTAGGATGTTATCCTCCACGAGGATGCTTGCCACGGTGCTGGGTCTTTGCCTCTGTCATCTGAAACGCGCTTACGGGTGATGGTTGTACAATATCAGAGGCATGCAGTCAGCCGCCCCAGTGTAGTGGACCCAATACAGAGACTGCCTGGGTATCCCAACGCTTGGTGAAATCCCAGGACGCCGTCCACCACTCAATCCCGCACGAATTGCCAACGACCTCGAGATGAACTGCTTAACAACACACCGTCGTCGATCGCAACGAAGGCAACCATGTGTAACCTTGCAACGGGTCTTGTACGCGAGCAGATCTCGGGCTATTGACCACTGGACTGGTTGCACGAACTGAGCACAAGACTCTCGGACGTCGTACTCACTACACCATAAAAGAGATGACCCGCTTTAGCTAATCCCCATGGTGGCTACTCCGAAAGCGTTCGGGTGGGTCTCTTGCGCAAACGCATCATGGATCTCATTTTGTCAGCAATGCACCCGCTACATCGTTGCTACTTACCACGCATCTAATTGCCACGCATTTCAGCAACCTCTAGAATTGGCCAATAATCTATCGATTTTACATCACCCTTCACGAGATAAGGAGCGTCCAGCCAACACCTCGGTACCGAGCCGAAATAGAGTTTATGCAGCTATCCAAGATGAGCATGGCCACTCTGGCCACGATACATCTCCTTCACATTCACAGGCTCGGCCAGCAGCCGAAGGTCCGCGGCGGAATCGATTCGCAAAGCACACCCTTATGAACCCGGTTGTCGGGTCTGTTCTCACTTTCTCATCACACCAAACCTTCTCGGTCGCCACATCAAGGGGCGAGACAACCCGGATACCAGGTCTGGCCGCCGGAAGAGCGGGTGTGGGGAAAGAGTTCAGCTCTGATCATGCACCTAGACGGGTAGCTTGCATCGCACGAACTAAGAGGGTAGTCGCTCTTGGGCAGCAGTCTTTGCTGACACGGTAGGCACTACCGACAGCGCAGAGTGTGGTACAAACCACGGCGCGCTACTTCCCCAGGAACTTTGCCCGAGCTTGCCGCTGGGGAGCAGATGCACTTTTGAGGCATCTCCGCTGCGAGACATTGCTTTTCGCTCTAACGATTGGTGTGCAACGTCTTCAACGGTTATGTCTTGCGTTCTTCACTCGCCCCCTGAATGTCTCAGCCATTTGGTAGGTGGATTAATACTTTGCGGCTTGAGAGGCAGTAATCGTCTAGTGGGGACACATCACCGCGGAAGCGCCATTGGTTGGTGCTTCGATATTCAGTACTATCGATGTCGTCGACGATCCATCACTTTTCCAAAACCCTTTGGTTCTTCTTTGGTTTCTCATGACGAAGCTAACTGTCTAACATCCCATGAACGAAGACGACATCATAGATACCACGAAAGACTTGAGTGAAGCATCCTGGTAAGGCTCAAATGCCACTATCGCCTCATAACACCATGGCGTCAATGAATAGCCTACCTGCACATGTTTGGTCTTCCATTCAGCAACAGTAGCATAGCACCACACGCGTAGAAAATCTCAATAGAAAAACAAGCTTTTATACTTTCCTAGTCGACAGCAGTCATTCCCCAACGAATCTCCACAGCACTTGATACCTATCTACCAACCCATCTACTCCCTCCCCTTCAACTCCTCCAGCCTCTCCACCAACCTCCCCCACCCAGCACTATCCTCCCAATTCTCCTTGCCCTTCCCCATAACACTCCTAACCGCACTCCTACTCTTAAACTTCCAATCCTTCGCCACCACCTCCCCACTCCCACTGGCCAACCCCTCCGTCCGTTCCCTCGGCCCCAGCGTCTCATACGCATCCACGAGATCAATCGTCATATCCACAACCGCATTCCACTCCGCCTCAGACCCCGACTCCCACTTCGGCTGGCTCGTCACAGCACGCCACGCTTTCTCGTGGCATTCCAGCGCGGAACTCGGGCGCTGAGTGTGCGTATACAGCGTTGCGAGGATGAGCCAGAGTTTGGGGGATACGGTGATGAGGGGCTTGATGTGTTTTTCCATGAGGTCGTTTACCAGGCGCGGGAGGCCTGGGCGCGTGATGTCGAAGCCGTCTTCAGCGGAGACTACGTGTTTGACGAGCATGTCGATGACTTCGGCGTCGACGCACTTTTCGCCTTCGGTCGAGCCGCGGAGCTCGCAGATGCGGCGTTGCGCTGTTACGACGTCGGCCCAGGAGGGCGGGTTGGTGGAGGCGCTCACGGCGAGAACGTTGTTCCAGATGCGGAAGTTGTCGTGCTTGATCGTTGCGGCGCGTTTGAATGCTTTGAGGGCGTCGGTGCGGGGGTGGTTTGTTACGCGTGTTTCTTGGAGTTCGCCGTCGGCGTTTTCTTGGATTCTGGGCTTGAGGTGGAGGAGGGAGGCTGCGAGGTTGCTCCATGCTTCGGCGTCTTGGTCGTCGAGCTGCACGCAGCGGGAGAAGGCTTCGACGGCGTTTTTGAATTGGAGGAGCTCGAGGTAAGCGCATCCGAGTGCGAACCAGGCGGGGTGGTAGAGCGCGTTGATCTTTAGGGATAGTGCGTAGGCTTCTGCGGCTTTCTCGTAGTTACGTGCGGAGATGTAGCGTTGACCGAGGGAGCGTTGAGCACGCGCGTATCGTTGGCCGGAGACGTTCCAGGCTTTTTCGTACATGGAGAGATCGTTGTCGATGTCACCCAGGATGCAGTAGTACCGCGGTGCTTCGGCTGGTGGTGGATCCCGCTCAGCACCCTCCCACTTCTCTTCGTCCAAGTCCACGTTCTCGTCATCGCCGTTGGTGGCGTGGAAAAGTTGTCGTCGGATCATCTTGCGCGCCCTCTCCTCTTTCTCAGTGGCAGCATAGCACAACGCTGCTTCAGCCCACATCTCTAGTCTCTCGTAGATCTCGAGCGCGGATCGTAGACCACCGAGGGCGACCCATCGTGCAGCGAGCTCAGACTCAAGCTCCCAGCGAGATGGGGAGCAGAGCGGGAAGACGTAACGGAGGCGTTCCTCAACGGATGCCGACTCACTCTCCTTGGCTTGCGGGAGGAAAGAAGTGATCTTCTCGCCAGTTTCGGCGTCGGTAGTAGCATCTCCCGAGGTCTCTGCGATGACTTGATCAACCAGCGCTTGAAGCTGGAGGAGACCACGCTCCATAGTCCGCGACTTGTAGCCCTCAATACGGCTCCTCACAAGCAGAGCTTGGGTGTAGACTTGCCAGTTCGAGCTTCCGCCCTCTAGTACTCGGGTGGCATATGGTTCAGTCTGTTCTCTTGTCAGGCCATCTGCGGGGTTTGTGTTTTTGATGCTCTCAGCGAGCGAAAGCATGATGACGGAGTCTAGCGGGTCAAGCAATGGCTGGTTTGATGGGTCCATGGATGTGAGCGATGCCGGTAGATTGGACTCATCCTTGATCTCCATGGATGCAGTGTTGTTGGTAAAAGAAATCGATTCCAGCAGGGTATCATCATTGAGGTCTAAAGCTTTTGGTTTCGAGCTCTCATCAGATGTGCCGTTAGCTTCCGATCCCGCACTTCGGGCGAGTACGATCAGTTGACTGGTATCCTTCTGTTGGAACTTCGTCCTCTTGCCCATCAGTCCAGTCAATGCAAATTCGAATTTCCGTTCTGATGTTGCCTGGTCAAGGTCCGCCTTGGCTTTCTTGTCTAGACCGTGGTGCGTATGAACAGCTGCTCGTTCCAGGAGGAAGGTCGTATGCAAGTCTTTGATTTCCCCGTTCTTTCCCGAGTTCTGAATCAAGTCCTCTACGACCTTCAAGTCGTCGTAGATGGCATCCTGTAGACTTGGCGCCGGCTCGCTGAGCAGCCTTTGATGCACGAAGTTCACTCTAAGACGCGCCCATGCCGAAACCGGGATGTTCTTTTGGATCGGGGGACTGATAAGGATGGTGTGCGCCAGGCACAGCAGCTCGATGTTTGGTGTGAGCTTGTATGCTGCAACACCATCTGCGCCCAGCGATGCGACGAGATCCGCGCGCGTTTTGCTGAGAAGTTTCGCATCATCTGCGACGTCTTTCGATAACAACGTCTCAGCAGACTTGAAGGGTAGTGGTGGTCCAGTCACATTCGACTGCAGGAATGCATGGAATGCCGCAATGGCGATCAGGAAGTAAACATGCTGCCGATATGCTGACGTTTCCTTTATCGGGGTGGACTCCTCCTCGTTCCCTTTCGACAGAAGCAGTCCTAGGCGATGGAAGATGTAGTCGCTCCAGAGAGAAAAGTCGCTCCTCTTAACGTCTTTGGTGGCTTCATTGTCCTGATATCCCAGCAATAGTTGCGCTTCTGGTAGTTGGAGTACGCCTAGGAAATCTCCCGATTTTGTCGATGTGATGGTCGTTTCGAGCACTGCCGCGAGTTCGTCCGGTAGTGAACTGCGGAAGAAATCCAGGAAGACGTCCGCCATGTTTTCGCTGATTAGAGTGACTTTTGAAGTGGAAATGCGTCCTGTAAGTTATCGTCCGACGGTACAGGAAGTTATAAACTTATTCCCACTAATTTTGCATCTTGATAGCGTGGTTGCGGGGCTGCTTTTGGAATTTGCGGCGATGAGTAAGAGTGGTGGCACGCCTAGCCTCTTTGGGACAACAGGGTCTGATCCACATCTGCATGCAAGGCATACCAGCCTTCCAGGTCCATAACAGGCGTGCGCACAGTTGGCTGTTGACTTCAACTTCATGTATGAGCAAAGTCCGGCTCGGGCGCATTTACATAATTAAGCGGGCATTTGCGTATATGAGCACGTGTTTAGCTTTACAAATAGATCTTATTCAAGAGAACTATGACTACGACCTTGCCATCACAGCGTGCGCCCTGCAGCTACTGAGCCAGAAACACTCCATATGCGCAAAGTCTCTAGTCCGAGTCACTGCTAGAACTAGAGCTGCTCTTGCCGCCCCTGCTACGGCTCCTACTGTGGCTCTTGTGGCTATGACTGTGGTGCGAGGACCCGTGGTGCGATCCGTGATGCGATCCATGATGCGAAGACCCGTGGTGTGAGCCGTGGTGTGAGCCATGCTCAGAGCTGCCGTGCTTCTTGTGTTTCTTGTGCTTCTTCTCCTTCCTAGAGTCATGTTAGATGGTGTCCACCATAGCGCTCGGGTGCGTATTTGGCTTACTTGTCAGGAATGAGGTTGGCGCCAACCGCCCCCAAAAGCGCTCCTCCAAGCGTGCCCAGCGCGCCGCCTCCGAGCTTGTTACCCACGAACGCGCCGCCTGCACCTCCCATCAGAGCTGAACCCAGGCCGCGGTCGCCTTCGCCAGGGCCGCCGGGTACGCCGGGTTGCACATATGCCGGCGCACCATAGCCTTGCTGCGGTTCGTGATGGCCCTGTTGTGGATGCGCGCCATACTGCTGGTTCGGGTCGTGGTAGCCTTGCTGCTGATGGCCCTGAGGGGGGTAGGGAGAAGTGCTGCGGTTTGGGTCGTAGCTCTGCTGGTACTGGCCCTGGGGCGGGGCACCATAGCCGTGCTGGGGAGGTTGTCCGTAAGGGTCGTGCGACGGCGGGGGGTAGGAGCTCTACAGTGATGTGAGTAGCTGAAGGCTGGAGGATAGAATGCGCCGAGGTTGCGCAATAAAACTGACCTGTCCTTGCGGGTAGGGGCTGTGATGTCCCTGGCCGTACTGGTCGTGCGGCTGCTGTCCGTACGCCTGAGGTTGAGGAGGATAGCCCTGGTTATGCTCTCCGTAGCCATGCTGCGGCTGTTGGGGCTGCTGGTATGCGCCGCCGTGGCTGTAGCCGTAGCCTTGATCGTGGCCTTGACCCTGACCGTAGTAATCCTGGCCTGACATGTTGTTCTTAAATGTTGTGTGTATTGATGTTTAAGTAGAAAAGATGTACGAAGGCTCTAGGTAGAGATGTTGAAGGTGGTTGCGCCTACGGTGGGGGAGGGGCAGGTTGGCAGATGGTCAGGCCAGTGCGATTGCGGCATCACACGCACGCTTTAAGTGTGACTTGCCCTCGTATGGAGCTGACTGCGCGCGCCACATGTCTGCGAAGGCTGATGATACCCAACGGGTTAGACGTGGGTCGCATTGCGGCTGAGCTGTGAGCGATTTGGTGATGGATGTGGAGTCGGACATGACCGGAAATTTGGCTGAAGCACCAGCACTGACCACTCTGCCATCCCGGAGTTCGTCTGTGTAGCTGACATTACATAGACCGCAACAAACACTATCTAGTCCACCGCGATGCCTTATATAATACTGGCCTGATATCGCTGTATGACTGCAGACGCATCTACATTGATGAGATATCTTCGCGTTTTTCTTTCCAATATCGCCCCGGTCACATCTTCGGCGCCATTTTAATGATCATGCAAAAGGTCTGCTGCCTGGGAACATCGATACGGGTGTCGTCAACAACGTGATCTGAAGAGGCTGCTCAAGTTCTTTGGACATGACTGTATATTTGCGCTGTGCCTATTCTTGACTCTGCCTGTAGCAGCTATTGACCACGCCATACTGAGGCTTATCCGATCAGATTACGCAGTTCGCTATCATCGTATACAAGTGAATAGCTAAACATGTCTACTGACTACACGAGAGTGAAACACGCAAACCGGACAATCTAGGGCTAATTTAGGCTCTAGGGCGTTTACCTTTTCCGTAGTCTGAGGTGCTACTTTTGTCTGCATTGAATCCGAAGAAGCTCTGCATGCTTTTTTGGTGAATGACGTGAATTGACTTATATGCGACTGCCTCGGAACAGACGACAGAGTGGATGCTCGCACAACGTGAATAAGTACAATCCAACAAACAGCACAAGGTGCCGTTAGCACAGATAATAACAATGCCATGAATGCGCAGACTTAAAGTTTGACGGATTGGTACAAGCGTACTGTGAGGAACTCTGACACGTCGAAATCCGGGGTATCGATAAGAAGTGGGGGTTTGCGGAGCGCAATATGGTTGAGCGATGGTTCGCATACGGCTAACAATTCGACATCGTCAGGGTCCAACTCTTTCGTAGTTGTGTTCTGCATCCGTCACGGGCCGTCGTAAGGGTCATGTTAGTAATCCTATGAACAGGGAACATACACGGCGACACCAGGGCGGTCAGATTCGGTATGTCATGCGCTATACTGACAAGTAGTCTCGGAAGATTTTACCGTCCCTAATACTTCTGGCATAGTACGGCGTGGTGCCGGTGATGGCTCGGCGGTGGTCTACAGGGTGGCGAGGGTACCAGAAACGCTTGCTGTCTCGACTTCGGCAGAATCGGGGAGGTAGTAGTCTGGAGCCTCCGCTTGTGGCCGTAGCGCGACGACTTGGCAGGGCTGTACGAATAGTGGCCGGCAAGGCTACCCCATCAGTAAGAGAACGCCCGTAGATTGAGCTAGAAGTCGTATGCCGTGGTGTTTTCAAAGGCCGCGGTGGAAGAATTGGCAGAATATGTGTTGTGAATGGCGTGGCTTGAAATGTGTGCTCTATTGTAAGGATGCTGACATGGCGGTCGGGTTGGATTAGTGCAGTCCCTGATCTTCAGCGCGCATTTCCCGCGGCTCCCAACCGTTGGCTGCAGGTCGTTGGCTACGGTGTCTTGTTGAAGAAGGCGGTCAGCGCGCCTTACCCAAACTCGCCACACATAGATGGCCTTTTGCAACGTGGGCTGCAACATGGGTCCAGCGGCGGCAAAGCTGCTGCCCGTCTACTGTGAAGAAATAGAAGAAGACACTTGCGGGGAGTGCTAGATAACTGGGGAAAATGCGGCGAGAAGGAAGATTTTGGCGTTGAATGGGATGCGAATTAGATCATAGGCAAATAATTGCCCAAGGCCTGGGCGGCGGCGCTGGTGTCGGGTTCCTCAGCGCGATAAGATCTGGCCCGTGCGGAAAAATCTCAAAGCGAGTCCACCATCCCACCAAACAACAAAGTGAATTTAAAGAGCCCGTCGAGCCTTCACAGCCGCCTCTCTCCACTCACACTCCCTTTCCCTTCTTTCTGTCGTTGTGCCCGGTAGCATAGAAAGGTTGCGAGTCAGATTCCTCGCGTTGATACCCCCCGGATAGATTCACTCTATCTTTTCGCGCCAAAAGTTTTTTAGGCCCCGCCAAAGTCCATATATAAGGACCACCCCACCTACCTCTTCCACCCTCTCTACACCTCCCCCCTCTACCTACACCGACAACATGGCGCCTGCTGCTTCGCATGATGCCAAGGACATCAAGTCCGAGAACTCCAAGTCGCTCAAAGCGCTTGAGGAGATGATGCAGAAGTTGACCGTGTCCAAGGCCCAGGACGAGATCAACGCCTCTGCTCAGGCCATCGCCACCTTCATCAACGGCGACATTGAGGAGGCTGACGCTCCCACCAAGTATGTTGGCCCTCTGCCCCTCCCCCGCCACAGTGCAGTCTCTAACAAACACGCAGGGCTGTCCAGGTGCTTAAGAAGCAACTCGCCAGCAAGAAGGATGCCGTCGCCCGCGAGCGCGCTCTCGATGCCATCCGTGCTATCGCCCAGCACTCGCACGTCTCCGCCTCGGTCGAGCCCTACCTCGTCTCCCTCCTGCCGGACGTGCTGGCCGCGGTCGGTGACAAGATGAGCGGCGTCAAGGTCGCTGCTCAGACCGCTGCCGAGTCCATCGTCATGGCCGCCAACCCCAACGCCGTCAAGGCCATCATCCCCCACATCATCAACTCGCTCGAGAACGCACAAAAGTGGCCCGAGAAGATGACCGACCTGAAGTGCATTGAGGCCCTCACCAAGAGCGCCCCTGCCCAGATGGCCTTCCGTGTCCCCGACCTGATTCCCGTCATCTCGGGAGCCATGTGGGACACCAAGCCTGAGGTCAAGAAGGCTGCCTACGGCACTATGGAGACTCTTTGCTCCTTGATCTCCAACAAGGATATCGAGCGCTTCATTCCCGAGCTCATCAAGTGTATCGCTAAGCCTGAGAACGTCCCCGAGACCGTTCACTTGCTCGGTGCCACCACTTTCGTCACTGATGTCCACGAGCCCACCCTCGCCATCATGGTTCCCCTGCTTGAGCGTGGTCTCGTCGAGCGCGAGACTGCCATCAAGCGTAAGTCTGCCGTCATTATTGACAACATGTGCAAGCTTGTCGAGGACCCCCAGATTGTCGCCGCTTTCTTGCCCCGTCTCATGCCCGCGCTTGAGAAGAACCACGACAACTTGGCTGACCCCGAGGCCCGTGAGAAGACCCGCCAGGGTCTTGACACCCTCATCCGTGTCGGTCACGTCGAGAACGGCAAGATCCCCGAGATCGAGAAGTCTGGTGACATCTCCACCATTGCCAACCACCTCAAGGCCGCTATCCCCTCCAGCATCAAGATCGATGACCGCTTCACCCCTGTCGTCAACTACGTTGGTGCCATTGGTGGTCAGCTGATCGACGAGAAGGACTACGAGCCTCTTAACTGGCAGGCTAACGCCGGTCCTTTCGTTGCCGTCCTTGTCGGTGACGAGAAGGCCAAGGAGGTTACTGAGGAGACCCGCAAGCGATCTCTCCCCGGTGCCGCCGCTGAGCGCGCCGTCGAGCCTGATGAGGAGGAGGGCGAGGATCTCTGCAACTGCACATTCAACTTGGCCTACGGTGCTAAGATCCTGCTCAACCAGACTCATCTCCGTCTCAAGCGTGGTCAGCGTTACGGTCTCCTCGGACCCAACGGTTCCGGAAAGACCACCCTCATGCGCGCTATCAACAACGAGCAGGTCGAGGGTTTCCCCAAGCAGAACGAGGTCAAGACCGTCTACGTCGAGCACGACTTGGACTCTGCTGACACTGAGATGACCGTTCTTGAGTGGACCATGGGTAAGCTCAAGTCCGTCGGTGTTGAGACCCCTGAGTCAGAGGTCAAGACCACCCTCAACGAGTTCGGTTTCACCGACGCCATGTACAACGGTACCATTGGTGCTCTCTCTGGTGGATGGAAGATGAAGCTCGCGCTTGCCCGTGCTGTCTTCGAGAAGCCCGACATTCTGCTGCTCGACGAGCCCACCAACCACTTGGACGTCAAGAACGTCAAGTGGCTCGAGGACTACCTCACCAGCTCCCCTTGCACATCCATTGTCATCTCTCACGACAGCAAGTTCTTGAACAACGTCATCCAGCACGTTATCCACTACGAGCGCTTCAAGCTTAAGCGCTACCGTGGTAACCTCGACGACTTCGTCAAGCGTGTGCCCTCTGCCAAGTCTTACCACGAGCTCGCTGCCTCCGATATGGAGTTCAAGTTCCCCGAGCCCGGTTTCCTTGAGGGTGTCAAGACCAAGGCCAAGGCCATTCTCCGTGCCACCAACATGAGCTTCCAGTACGAGGGTACCTCCAAGCCTCAGATTGAGGACATTACCTTCCAATGTTCGCTCGGATCCCGTATTGCCGTCATTGGCCCCAACGGTGCCGGAAAGTCCACCCTTGTCAACGTCCTGACTGGTGAGCTTGTCCCCACCAAGGGTGAGATCTACCACCACGAGAACATCCGTATTGCCTACATTAAGCAGCACGCTTTCGCCCATATCGACCACCACCTCGACAAGACTCCTTCCGAGTACATCCAATGGCGTTTCCAGACTGGTGAGGACCGTGAGACCATGGACCGTGCCAACAAGATCGTCACCGAGGAGGACGAGAAGGCCATGGACAAGATCTACAAGATCGAGGGTACCGAGCGTCGCGTCATCGGCATCAACTCCCGCAGGAAGTTCAAGAACTCCTACGAGTACGAGTGTTCGTTCGCTCTCGGAGAGAACGTCGGCATGAAGAACGAGCGCTGGACACCCATGATGTCTGCTGACAACGCCTGGATTCCTCGTTCCGAGATCATGGCTT